CCAGGAATGCCCTCAGCATGAATATTTTCATCAACGCCAGGGCCAATGTAGAGACTGCCCAGAATGGCAGAAGCCCAACGAGCAGCGCGATAGCTGCGAGGATAAAGACAAGCCTGGACTGAGCGACTTCGAATGGGCAGCGATCGGCGGCTTTTGCATGCTTATCCCTCTGCCTGTGGCAGCCGGTGTGCCTTGCTGTCCGTTGCTTGTGTGCAGACAACGTCCTGGGTAACCGTCGGCTTTGACATCCATGTGCAACTCTCATTCAGCCAAGGAAAGGAATATCTTGGCAACTCGCGGCTCCTTTGACACCGCTTCTCTGCGGGCAGTACTCGTCGAAAAACACATTCCTCCTGCCAGGATGCGCGACTCGGTTCACCTGATGAGTCCAGTCGAGCATGCCACACAGAACCTAAGATCTCAAAGACATAAAGCTATATAAAGCTCGCCACAAGGCTTGGTATCCTCCCCTAATTCCTAAACCCTAAACCCTTGACACCCTTCAAACCCATTGCTGGATTCAGTAGCTGGTTCTGAATGCTCATGGGCTCTCCCACAAGGCACAGCATTTGATTTGCCACCATACGATCACTTGCTGAGAGGCGAATTGTTGGGCGGTGGATGGACTTCCAGGTGGCTGAGCAACTCGCGACCTTGCAAGGTTGTAGCCGTTCATGACTAAACGCACAATAATGTCGAATCCTTGAGCGAGCCGGGGGGGAATGGACATTGGGGTATATGTGGCATGATATTTTGGCATACTATTATAATAAAGAAAGCTTGTGTTGATCCTCGAGCCTCTCGACAACGCAAAGATACGTAGAGGGTGCCGCTTGTTCTGAGAAATTGTCGGTTTGGCAAATGAATATTTGTAGCATCCTACTTCATAGATTCTATTTCAATGTCTTAATTAAACTTCCAAACACCTCTATCAAAGGTTACGGGCTCGGTCACGTTTTCGCTCTGCGGAAACCGCGGACACCTTGTCGTATGCCTATTCTCTTTCTCTGTTCGTTTTGGTTACCAACACAAATCCCATTCTCGCGTGCTCCGCAGGTCACGAGGGCTGTCGCACTGCATGACCTTTCAGGGCTCAGCAATGCATTTTGCTTCGTAGCGGTTTAGGGTTTAGGGTTTAGGGTTTAGGGTTTAGGGTTTAGGGTTTAGGGTTTAGGGTTTAGGGTTTAGGGTTTAGGGTTTAGATCTTCGTGGGGATGTTGTGACTGACTGTATCGGGCGAAGATAGGGGTACTCCTATCATTTCAGACACCCCTAATATTTCCGCGATGCAGAACAGGAAAGTGCGTGTTTCTATGATTTGTCTGTCTCCTGGGCTGACCAACAAGCACACCTCGCGGATGAGCGCGTTGATGCCCAGAGTCCGTTGCCAAGAGGTCTGTCATGAAGTCGCGCCTTGAGAACACAATAATTAAACAAAACCCCCTAAACCCGAAAACCTAACCCCTAACCCCTGACCCCTGACCCCTAAACCCGAAACCCTAAACCCTAAACCCTAAACCCTAAACCCTAAACCCTAAACCCTAAACCCTAAGCCCTAAGCCCTAAACGCAAAGCTGAGGCTTGAGGCAACTTGAAGCAAAACCCCCAAACCGGAACCAACCACATTGGGTACGGTGGTTTTTTAGGGGTTTGTAGGTTTGGGTTGGGATGCTCTCCCTTATACTAACAGTCCTTAATAGGGATTCTAGCAGCCCCTTATGATTATCCCTATTCCGGACTGTTAGTAGAAGGGGAACATCCCAAGGTTTGAGCTTTAGTGGAATAATTTCAGGATTGAAGTATTGAATTTGAGGCCTTGGGGTCAGGCGTTCAGGGTTCCTAGGGCTTCGGGGCTCTGTTTTTTTTTGGGGGGTGCGGAATCTTTCTGCGAAAGACATCTGGTGCCACGGGAGCTCCCAACAAGGGACGCCGGTTGTGAAGCCAGTCGGCTGGAAAATCCCTCGTCGGAGCAATCGGCTGGGGCCGTCTACCTCTAAACCCGAAACCCTCAACCCCAAACCCTAAACCTCTTTGGTTTAGGACATGTAGAGAGTTGGAGCTTGGGGTTTAGGAAGAAGGTTTTCGGGGTTTAGGGTTTCGGGTTCAGGTTTCGGGTTCAGGGGAACCTAGCATCTGCATCTACTGTAACACGCCCTGCGTCCCTAAACCTGGATCTCTGACAACGTGGACCGCTGTACCCCAGACCCCAGACCCCAGACCCCAAACCCTAAACCCTAAACAGACCCTAAACCTAAATAACCCTAAACCCTAAACCGCTTCGAGATCACCACTCTAAAGCCTGCGAAGGTCGCGCAGGACAAGGGTGCACGCATTCTGCACAGCCCAAGAGTCGAAGAACCTTAGAATCCTGTAATTTTATACCAATAACAGCGTATAACATAATATCATAGAAAATAATTTGTCGTAATAAAAAAATGTATAACATAATATACTATAATATGATATAACATCATGTAAAATAATATGAAATAATACAAAACAAGATGAAATAGTATAAAATCCTATAAAATAATGAAATAATATTGAATTATACAAAATCATATCAAATAATACGAAATAATATTCAAACAAAAAAACTACATGGTATCGGCAGGTCCAACCGCCAGCGTTGCTGCCGGGGTGTGTGGGCTTGATGCCCCCTTGGAAGGTGTTCGGCCGCCCCACCTACACCCTACGGCCTACAGCAGGCCCTGAACCACGGAGTCTAGGATTAGGGTTTAGTGGGTTTAGAGGGTTTAGTGGGTTTAGGGGGTTTAGGGTTTAGGGTTTAGGGTCAGGGTTTAGATCTACACTTGAGACCCCCCGCCTCCCCTCCAAAGAAGGCACCTCTCACTTCGGAAGCCCTCACGCCTTGGGCGTGTGCGCCGAAGGTCCCTTTTGAATTTTGGGTTCAACGCTTCAGCGCTGGACAGCCCAGAGCGCGCAGGGAGGCGCGAGTACCATGGAAAGCGAGTCTCGCTGTCAAGATCCTGTGCCTAGTCAATATTTGTTCAGGGTTTAGGGTTTAGGGTTTAGGGTTTAGGTTTGGGGCCTCGGATGTCAGGAGCATCTGGGCTTCACGGGTTTGCAAACCCTAAACCCTAAACCCTTTAGGGGTAGGGCTTAGGGTTTAGGGTGTAGGGTTCAGGGTTTATGGTTTAGGTTTTAGGGTTTAGGGTAACTATATACTTAAAACAGGTTTTCATGGTTCAGGGTCGGGGGTAGGGTGCTCAGGTCCAGAGTCAAGCCTTGGGAAGCCCAGGAGACCCCTGAAAGCACCCCGAGCACGCCAGCTAAATCTAGGGTTTAGGGTTTAGGGGTTTAGGGGTTTAGGGGTTTAGGGGTTTAGGGTTTAGGGTTTAGGGTTTAGGGTTTAGGGTTTACCCGAAACTGCCCCAACCTCGCGACTCGCGCCTCAAGATGTACGAAAAGCGCGAGTGCGGGTAGCTTCGGGCGAGTTGAACTACGGATGCTGAGCATTTCAACTTGCTGCTTGGTGACTTTAAGGTTTGGGTCTAGGGTTAGTATTTAAGGCTTCAGGGCTCGCAGTAGGGGTGAACCCTAGACCCTAAACCCTGAACCCTGAACCCTAAACCCTAAACCCTAAACCCGGTGCACCCGCCTGGAGGGATGGTTGGTGGCCATTGAAACGACGAGAACCGAGACCCGGAGCTCAGTCGTCATCGGACGAAAACTTTGCCAAGTGGGGGTTTACGAAAAAAAGGGACCCCTGATATAGAACCCCAAATAGTAGGGTTCCCTTATACCAAGGACCCCAAGAAGGACCCCAAAAAACCAATTTCGGAAACCCCCATGAACCAATGGCGCGTGGTAGACCATAAGCCCCCGTGGCGCGACTCATGTCAGGAAGCGATGCCGGGTGAAGCTGATCACCGCCAGAAGAATGGCGGTGCTACACATCCAGGCAGCTGCCGTCCAGATGTTCAAGCTGCACACCTGCTTGTTTCTGGTCTGAGTGACTTGAGTTTCAGGGTTTGGGGTTTCGTCCTGAGTACCTGTGTTGCTCATCAGGCTCACCTATCATTCACATCTTGCTCATCAGGCTCACTTATCATTCGGTCCCATGGGGCCTCTTGCGCAACCATGTTGCCGAGGACCGCCATGCAGCAGAAGAGCACATGAATGGATAAGGTTATGATGTAGTCCAGCACTATCCATCGTCGCCTGGAGGTGGCAAAGGAAAGTGAGATGACAGCTCGGAAGCACATGGCTGCCCAGAACGTATAGCTGCCCAGCACAAACCCCATGAAGTGCGCCAACGCGTCCAAGAAGGGAACGCCACCCCTCCACAGCGCCAGGTGGTCCTCGAGGATTGCCGCCGTGGCTGCAGAGGCCAACAGCACGACGTATGTCGTGGAGATCTTGGTCGCTGACTGCAGCAACTCCTCCCGCAGAGGACCTCGCACATGCTCCTCAAAGGCGCGGGTGCTCCCATACCAGCGCCTAATGGCTCGGAGGATGAAGTGTCGGTCTGCCTCCAAGCTACACTGGGCGCCCGCCAATGTGAAGTGCTGCAAATCATGGATGAGCTTGTCCTTCGCCTCGGCAGTACGGCGCAGATAGTGGATCATGAAGAGTACCGGGCTCAGCGAAACGAAGAAGGACAGTTCGGACATGCCAGTAAGCGATGTGCTGAGCAAGAGTGCTCCTGCGGTTCAAGATAAGGATCCCAAAGCTAGAGCAAAAACAACATCGGCGTTGCCTCCTGAGGGTTTTGGGTTCGGGTTTAGGGTTTCTTCTGGCTCCAAGACCAAGCCCGAGAACCCAAACCCTAAAAACCTAAACCCCTAGACGCAAACAGCCGTGAGCCCAGGGGTTTAGGGTTTAGGGTTCAGGGTTTCGGGTTTCGGGCTGGGTTTAGGGTTTGGGGTTAATGGTTTTAGGGTTCCACTACTGGATTTAAGCCAACACCTTGTGAGGCTTGGGTCCAGTCCTGCAGCTGCATACGCTCCTAAGATTCCAATCAAGACCGCATGCTCAACGAAAAGGGGAGCAATGACCAGCTTGCCCGTGGGGTTTCGCTTGCGAAAGGCTGCGAGCCTGGGACAGGATTGAAGGCTTAAGGTTTTTGCCAGAAACCCTAAACCCTAAACCCCTAAAGCCTGTACGATATGAAGCAAACCCGAAACCCTACATAGTAGAGGGTCCAGGGCTACACCGCGGGTCCTGGAACCCAACACCATGCTTCCAAGCCATGTGCATCCATCCGAACCCGCAGAACCGAGACCCGAGACCCCACTTCGAGTGTCATGGGACGTCGGGAAGATGTCGTAGCTTAGAAATAGCGTGACTCGACATAGGCACTATTATGGAACGGAAAATGGATTTAGAGTTCTTTTGGCTTGTTTTGACATGTTTTGCTTGCTGTACTACTGCTATACTACTGCTATACTACTACTTCTGCTGCTGCTGCTCCTGCTACTGCTACTGCTACTCCTACTACTACTACTACTACTACTACTACTACTACTACTACTACTACTACTACTACTACTACTACTACTACTACTACTAGCAATACCCCTGCGGCCACAGGCAAGGCAACAAAACGATGCTTGCAGCAGCTTTCGCACACTACGACTACTACCACTACTACCACTACGACCACCACCACCACCACTACCACCACTACCACTCTTCTTTCTGAGGCACAAGGTCGTATCAGTACTGATCGTGTAGTCGTAGTTGCAGTACGAGTGAACGAAACCAAAGGCAAAACGAATCTCAAAAGCAAACAAAACTTCAAAGGCGTGGACCCCCCCCAATTATAACCTACTTACTAAGTCCCATGATCCTCTACGTAGACCCTAAACCCTACACCAGAAATCCTAAACTTTAACCGCCGGAACCTTTAACCAGCAAGGAGGGCATCAATTGCAGGATCTATAGAAACCCCAAACCCCAAACCCTAAACCCTCAACTCTGGGCTCCATGAGCCCTAAAAAGGGAAACGGGTTTAGTGCTTACGTTGGGGGTCAGGAGTTGTGAGTTTAAGGGTCCCTGAACCCTAAACCGTAAACCTAAACCCTAAACCCTAAACCCCAAACCCTAAGCCAAGGCGCTCGAAGATGCACCAAAGCCTTGACATGTAGGGCGGACTCCACAGCACTCCTCGACCCGCGAAGGCTGAAGGTATAGGGCATGTCTGGCTTAGGGATTTAGCGTTTAGGGCTATTCGGGATTGAGGTTTTAGGTGCTCAGGGTTTCAGGGCTTTGGGCCGTCACAAGGACTTACAGCCAAAAGGCGCGCTGTTGGTGTGTTTAGGGTTGGGATTGAGGTGTATCGCTGTTTGAGAAACGCTAAACCCTAAACCCTAAACCCTAAACCCTAAACCCTAAACCCTAAACCCTAAACCCTAAACATCCCATAACCCGCACTTGCGAAGCCAAGAAGCTCATCTCGCGGGAGAGGCTGAGGAAGCCGCCGATGGAGTAGATGCCTTGCCTTGGTAGCCCAGTAACCCTATTTTAAGAATAGGGCTTAGGGTTTAGGGTTAGGGTTTAGGGTTTAGGGTTTAGGGTTTAGGGTTTAGGGTTTAGGGTTTAGGGTTTGGGGTTTAGGGTTTAGGGTTTAGGGTTTAGGGTTTAGGGCTTAGGGCTTAGGGCTTAGGGTTTAGGGTTTAAGGGTTTTTGGTACCACTGGGCTGCCAAGTTGCTCTTTGAGCCGTGCGTCGGCTTGGTGGATGCATGCGGCGTCCATGAAGCAGCTATCTGCTTGGCTCAAGCAGTCCTGCTTGGAGGTTCATGGGACTCACTAACCAATTCGAACTGTACTTATAGCCCTACTGATAACACCCCTAAAGGGACTTATAGGGGCTATCCCAATTATAAGTAGGGTTACACCCTACACCCTACACCCTAAACCCTAAACCCTAAACCCTAAACCCTAAACCCTGAACCCTAAACCCTAAACCCTACAAGCCCAGTTATAAGTGGTTAGTAAGTACCATGAACCTCCAAGTGAGGGCTTGGGCAAGGCTTTAACGTGGCCGAAGAGCGGCTCTTGGGGCTTTGCTGGCCTCTCACTTCAGAATTGCGGATGCTAGGGTTTAGGGTTTAGGGTTTAGGGTTTAGGGTTTAGGGTTTAGGGTTTAGGGTTTAGGGTTCAGGGTTGCGGCAGCCCGACAAAGCAAAAAGTGTTTCCGCTCTCGCTCACGTTAGCGCCAAGGGCTTGTAGGGGGCAGAGATTTTGCGCAACAATAAGCCTTTGATTTATGCTTGCATTTGGCCGCCGAGAGTCAGGGGCATAGGGTGCCAACAGCAAGCCAGTGACGATGGAGAGCAAACCACTCACCTTCACCCATGGCCCCGTGGGGCAGCGGCACCAAAACCCGGGCGTCTCCGGGCTTACTTTACCGTACGTAGGCAAGTCGAAGCACAAAGACATCAGGAAAGCGAGCACGATCCACACAAACCACCAAGCCAGCAGCCAACGTCTGCAAGAGTACAGGACGAGGCTAAAATACTTCCAGCCACCCCAGGTCTGCCATGAGTGCGACAGGAAGCTGTCATAGCCTTTGGATGGCTTCGACAGCTGGAACAGCGCCAAGCGATCTTCATCCGACATTGGCAGCATCGGCCGTCGCCAGATCCATCCCCATTGTCGCAAAGATCTGCGCATAGTGATGGCGCGTATGAAGTCTCCCTCTACTTTCAAGCCGGTGTCGCTGATGTCAGTGGACATCCGCTGGAGATGATGGGTGATTGGGGCTTCGTGCTCCTCAGTCCATCGACCATGATGGAGCGCAGAATCCTGAGAAGTGTGATGTCGAGTATACTCCTCCTCCGACGGAAGCGCCTCAATCGAGATCATTTCTTGAGTCCTGGGTTGTTGCTGGGGTGCGGAAGGCCCTGTCTTCATCCTTAAACCCCTGTTAAAACCCTAACCCTAAACCCTGAACCCTAAACCCTACCCTAAACCCTAAAACCCTAAAACCCTAAACCCTACAGTATACGGGCCAACACCTGCGCGCGGCACTAGTGCCTAGAGGGTTCTTCGGACAGCTGACAGAACACACCGAGAGAAGTGTCTACTGACCGTCTCCTGTCCTGACTCCCCCCTCTCAAACCTCAACCCTCAAACCCACCCCCCACTCCCTCCCTCTTGGAGATGATCACGGAGGTTATGAGGTGTTCGGGTTTTCGGGTTTAGGGAATCAGGGTTTTAAGGCTTCGGTCGGTCGACCTTGGGCGTGTTTTTGGGGGGTCCTCAACGGCGCGCGCGCAAAGGGTTTAGGGTTTAGGGTTTAGGGTTTGGGGTTTAGGGTTTGGGGTTTAGGGTTCTTGCTCTCTTGCAGGGGCCGGTCGAGGCCTCTGCTACGCCCTGGCCTCTAGAGGAGTGTTGCGGATTCAGGGGCCAGGGGCCTCCCAGAAAGCCCAGGCATGGGGAATAAGAGCAAACAAGCCAGGGCATGGAACCTAAACCCTAAACCCTAAACCCCGCGCCAGAGGGAGTGCGCCCCTAAACCTAAAAAACGGGCGCACTCCCCTGCGCACGCGTACACTGACGCACACCCGAGCCCCCGAACCCCACACCCTTATGAAACCCTAAACCCTAAACCCTAAGCCTAAACCCTAAACCCTAAACCCTAAACCCTACGCCCTAACCCCCAACCCGAAACCCGAAACCCGAAACCCGAAACCCGAAACCCTAAACCCTAAACCCTAAACCCTATACCCTAAACCCTAAACCCTAAACCCTAAACCCTAAACCCTAAACCCTCCCCGGACAGTGACCGAGATTCTCCCTTCGCTCAACGTCGACAGCTTCTGCGTCCCTGCAGGGCTCACAAGCTTCGCAACTGCAGGCCATCCCGTCTGATCCGCAAGCGCCTTGGTTCAGGGTAGCCCTAAACCCTAGCCATGGCCCTAGACCCTTGGCCCTAGGCCCTAAACCCTAAACCCCAAACCCGAAACCGGAAACCCGAAACCCCAAACCCTACAAACCTACCCCAGCCGATAAGATGCCGAGCAACCTGGACCCTGTCCGTGCCCCTCGCAACGCTAGCCAGGCATGTGTCCCGGCCAATGGTTTCGGGGATTAGGATCTAGGATTTAGGGTTTATGGAAACTCTAAACCCTAAACCCTAAACCCTAAACTCTAAACCCTAAACCCTTTTGAAGTTTGGGGGTTCTGGGTCTGGGCATCTCGCAGTCTGCTTTCCGGCGCTGGTTACAGGACATTATGCCCTACACATGCCCAGAGAGCCCAAAACCCCTTAATTAAGGAATAGACCTTAGAAGGGTTTAGGGTTTAGGGTTTAAGGTTTAGGGTTTAGGGTTTCGGGTGATTTAAAGTACATTCCCTGAATTAGGGGGTATTGGGCTCTTTGGGCACTTAAACCGAGGCTTGCCGCTTTTTGTATTCCCTATCAACAAAATCCAGTGGGAGAAAGATTAGGGTCTTTAGGGCTGAGGGCTCAGGATTTATGGGGTTTCAAGGGTCAAGGAGCACCCTGCACCCTAAGCCCTAAACCATTGGTGGATCTGAACCTCCCTACCGACGTATAGCCGGTCCAGCCAGCGGCTGCGATGCAAGACAGGCTTAGGGTTTAGGGATGCGGGTTTAGGGTGTAGGGTTTGGGGTTTATGATTTAGGGTTTCGGGTTTAGGGTTGAGGGTTTAGGGCCTAGGGCACTTTTCGCCCGACACCAACACTCGGCCCTTTGCGTGTCGTGCTGCAGGCTGAACTGAAGGATCGAATCTGGGTGGTTCCCTAATCATCAAGCTCCCTAAGCCCTAAGGCCTTAGCCGTATAAGCCCTAAAAACACTAAAGACCCGAAAACCCTAAAACCCTAAAACCCTATACCCGAAACCCGAAACCCGAAATCCTAAACCCTAAACCCCTAAACCCTACACACAAATATACATAAACCCTAGTCTCGAGACTATACGGGATTGAACATCCTTCGCTGCGCGAAAATGCCAGAAAACGAAGAGTTTAGAGTTCAGGGCTTGGGGTCTAGGGGTTAGGGGTTAGGGTTTAGGGTATAGGGTTTAGGGGTTAGAGTTCAGGGCTTGGGGTTTAGGGTTATAATGGCTTCGCGGCTGAGGGTTTTGGGATGTGGAGCGGAGCATGCTGCGAGAATCGTAAACCCTACTTGGAGGTTCATGCGATTTAATAACCACTTATATCTGGGCTTGTAACCCTACTTATAATCGGGATAACCCCTATAAGGCCCTTTAGGGGTATTATAAGTAGGGTTATAGGTACAGTCAGAAGTGGTTAGTGAGTACCATGAACCTTCAAGCAGGCCCTGAGCCCCAAACCCTTGTCCAAAGTTGGGCGTCCTGCGGACAATCGATGTGAAACGGGAAATGCACCTCCCCTCGTTCGAGGTGAAAGCCGTTTCCAAAGCATCATCTTTGAATCATCCCCATCTTTGCACCACCCACCTCAGAAAGACGCCGGCGACCACTTGAGCAGCAGAAATGCCAACAATCACTTCCCAGGTGGACATGATATCTGATTGTAGAACGGCTGCAAAGAGACCCATGATGAGCAGAAGCCAAACCAGCAGAGTCTTTCCGCAATCGCACATTCCTGCGGCAGGGCCTGCAAAGCAATAGCAGAGCAAGAAGGTCAAGACCATGAGGTTCATGAGTGTCACAGCGTCTGCAACAAAAAGCTCCAGAAATTGCAGGAAATGATCAAGACCTGACAAGACTGACACTCTGTTCCTGACCAGCCATAGATCCACGTAGCTTGCAAGCACGGGCGTCATAGCCATCAACCAATACACAGCTGGAAAGGTTGATCTCCGAAATGGACGGATAAGTTCATCGTAGAGGGGGCCTCGCACATACTGTTCGAATGCCTCCTCGCTCCCATACCACTCGCGAATGCCAGTATAGATGAAATCCCTGTCGCTTTCGAGGCGGCAACTCACCTTTGCTAGTTCGAAGCATCTGATATTCTCCATGAGACGGTGCTTTTCGTGCAAAAGTCGGCGAAAGCCGTGTATCATCAGGGCATAGGGAAGCGTAGTACCGACCCGCACAATAATCACCGACCAGTCATCCCAGGCTGGGTCCCCTGCAACCCGAACTCTCCCTTCCTCAATCAGAGTGAACATATAATTTACAAGGATCACATAAAGCAGGCCAACCTCCACATAGAGCGGTTTCAGCACAATACGCCCGGATGGATTCGCCTTGCGGAACGCGGCCAGCTCAAAGACGCACCAAAGCCTCGTCGTTGTTGTTGTTGTTGTTGTTGTTGTTGTTGTTGTTGTTGATGTTGATGCTGATTGTTGTTGGCTGCTGGCTGTTGGCTGCTGGCTGTTGGCTGCTTGGTTGCTTGGTTGGTTGGCCGGTTGCTCGGTCGGTTGGTTGCATGATTGCTTTGTTGCTTGTTTGCTTGATTGCTGCTTGTTTGCTTGGTTGCTTCCTGCTTGTTGCTTGTTGCTTCTTGTGTTTGTTTGTTGTGCTTGTTTGTTGTTTAGTGTTGTTTGTTGTTGCTTGCTTGTGTGTGTTTGCGTTTGGGTTTGTTTCTTGTCGTGTGTTGCAACAACAGCTACAAGTCACGCAAGCGACGTTTCGCAAGTCCAGGCCTCGAGAGGTACGGCGGGCTCCATAAAATTCCTAGGATGGCTCTTAACCATCTCTGAACCATGCTTTTTGCGTTCTATGATCCTTTCACGCCCAATAAAGGAAAATACAACATGTCCCAAAGGGCTACCTAGATTCGCAACTCTGAGCTGGCGCGCAAGAAGCCTCCCAAGCCGTAGATGCCACGTTGCATCAAGTCGGCGTCCGCTTGATTGATGCATACCACGTCGAGAAAGCACCTACACTCCCCTTAGAACCTTGACAAAAACAATATTTCTGATATCCTCTTGGGGTTTATGTGCACAAAAATAATTCCCAAGAGGGATATAGGCGCATCTTGCTTCCGCAGAATTGTGGCAGGTAGGGCGACGCCAGGAGTCCGAGGATGGATCCAAATAATCCGCCAAGTCTTGCTGACAAGTCGCGCTGGTGGAGCCCACTACCTGCAAAAACTCCCAAAATCACGCAAACTGCGGCACCCAGGAACCAGCCCAAGACGAAGCAGTAGCAGCCAGACTGTACCAGCAGTGCCCGAACCTTTTGCGATCCCGGGGTATGCCACGTGTGACTCAAGAAAATGTCCAATCTTTCCACCTTGGCAGATCTCCTCCACAAGGCTGCACGAGCAGCGTTGTCTGGCAGCTCTATCGGTGACCTCCGCCAGAGTACGCCGAAGCCATGCAGTGACGTCTTCAAAGGTATTCCTCGGAGCAGATCGCCGTCAAGCGTCAGATGGCCAGATGCCTCTGAGGCATCTGCTGATGTCAGCCGGCCAAAATGGGCATTGGCTCTCCAATTCATCTCTGCGTGCTCCTGCCCACCTTCATGCACCGGCTGTAACCCTTTCCCATCATCGCCGGAGAAGGGATCCTGTTGCCATGATTTTGCCGCTGCGACCTGCTCTACCGCAGGCAGCACACTCTCGGAATCATAACAACAGCTTCCGGTGGCGTCGCCTGCTGTTTTGCAGTCTCTGCATGTTCCCAAGCCTGTTCCCATCAAGATGCCTGGCACCCCCCGCTGTCTTAGACGCCGGGTGTATCAAATCCGGAGATGAAATCTGGGAATGACTTGGGCCACCGTGGCGAGTCGGCGAAAGCGACCCGAGAGTAACCCAGCAAGGGTAATTACCCTGTTTGGCTTATAAGGGCTTCGAAGGGAACCTAACACCCTAACAAAAGAATAAGGACCTCTCCGAGTCCTAGTACCCCAAACCCCTAACCCTAAACCCTAAATCATTTGCTTCAGCCCTTGAACCAAAACTTGATGCCCATGCGCCTCCTACGCAGGGTTTAGGGTTTAGGGTTTAGGGTTTAGGGTTTAGGGTTTAGGGTTTAGAACCCTGATTCTAACCCTACCCATAACCTTCCCCTGAGACTCCAAGCAGGGTTTGGGGTTTAGGGGGCTGGGGGTTTGGGATGTGGACCTGAGCAAAGCCTGAACCTCCCTAAACCCTAAACTCTAAACCCTAAACCCTAAACCCCAAACCCCAAACCCCGGTCTGAAGGCTCAACCCCAGACACAGGTGAACTGGGACTGCGGCTACAGCGGATGACGCCTGTTGGTTTAGTTTTTTGGTTTAGGGTCCGCCCCAGTATTTAGGGTTTAGGGTTTAGGATTTAGGGTTTAGTTTTGGGGCTTTGGGGCTTTAGGGCCTCGGGTCTATAGGCTCTGCGGGAATGGGACCCACATAAAATCTGTGAAAAGTGCACAGAAAAGGTCCTTGAACCAGACCGGGTTTAGGGTGACGGTATGCTGAATGCTGAAGCTTCGACTGTGTGATCACGGGGATGAAGGACTTCATTCCGAGACTGCAGCGTGCGTAGCTTTGGGTTTAGGGTTTAGGGTTTCGGGTTTCGGGTTTGGGGCTTGGATTTGGGGTTTGGGTTTTGCGGTTTGGGGTTTGGGGTTTGAGGTTACGGTCTAGGGTTTAGGATTTAGGTTCAAGGTTCAGGGTTTAGGTGAAAGGGTCCTCTCTTTTCGTAACCCTAAACCCTAAACCCTAAACCCTAAACCGAAAAGCGCGACAGACACCGGAGCCTCGGGCAGAACCGGCAAGTTTCGAACGAAGTCGAGAGCCTCCTCTTTGTCCGCGGCCTGACTGATTTAGGGTTTAGGGTTTAGGGTTTGAAGGGTTGAAGGGTTAAAGGGTTTAGGGTTTAGGGTTTAGGGTCTAGGGTTTAGGGTTTAGGGTTCAAGGGTTCAGGGTTTTGGGTTTAGGGTTTGACATGTTTTTTTTTGGGGGGGGGGCTCCATTAAAGACCCTAAAACTCCAAAGACATGGTGCTCTCCGGGCCTGAACCAACAACCTTTTGTAGGGCTTCAAGGCTTAGCTTGGGGTCTGGTTAGAGGCTTGAGCTTGCGTCTTCAGGGTGCATTATGTGCACTTTATGTGCACGTAGGTGTTTAGTTGGTTAGGGTCTAGGGCTACGCCTAAACCCATTCCTGCGCTGCTACACTCCCCTCCCCCCCCCATCCCCACAACCGCTTCACAAGGGCAGTTTTTGCTACATAATGATGAAACACTTCTCGCGCACTCATTAAATACCACTTGTACAGATTATATGATGTCTAAAACACACAATTCGCATAGACAAGCTCAAGTTTACATCTTTTTCTTGGAAATCTATTTGCGTCGTGAAGATCATAGTACTCGGAAATTCTAAATTCTGAGGCCTTGAGAGAATCTCTGGCGAAGTCTGGACGTTTGGGTTTTCAATTGTTTCGATACAAATAAAACAATTTTCCTAAGCAACGCTTTTTTTCCAAGCAAAATGTTGATTAAATAGGCAAATTAAATACTACTGAAACACCTGGTACATCTTTAAAAGCACACCAATGCAATATTCATTGCATAGAAATTCAATACTAAGTGCATACTGTTCCGGTCCTGTCGGTTTATTATGAATTCCTATTTTCAGCTTGCTTGGAATGAGCGATGAAGGACAGCTATTGGGACACACGCCGCAAGCCGCCCGATAAGCAAGACTTGGAGTTTGCAGGACCCCCGAAACGTAGCGGACTTATTTTAGCACGGAACCAAGGATTACCATAAATAGGAATTCTCCTACGGCTTGTGAACCCTCCTCCACAATCAAAAAGGGTAGGTAGGGATTCCTGGTTGATCTGCAACCCTTATCCCTAATCCCGAATCCTTAAACCCCATAAACCCTAAACCCTAAACCCTAACCCTAAACCCTAAACCCTAAACCCTAAAGGCACCCTAAACCCCAAAGACTAACACCGGCTGCGGCCTTGGACGCTGCCGCGTCAAGCGCCGTGAAGAGGACATAGCGGGGGTCTCGAATTCAAAAACTCACGGGGTTTAGACCTGGTTTGAAAAGGGGTTGTAAGGGAACCTAAACCCTCAAAAAGGGCCTACTCTGGATCCTAGTCAAAACTGTCCTGAAGTCTGCACGTAGCTGTCCTGCCACAGATGCTGTGTGTTTGACTGCTTGCCTCGCTATGAACCCCCGAGCGGTTGTAGCATGAGATCACGTGCGTGGGAGATGGCCACCCCAAAAGAGCCCTTAAAACCCCTGAATACAAGAATACACCTTAAATCACACTAAGGATCCCTGTATAGCTTAAGGTCTTTTCCTTAATTCAGGTCCATTGGGCTCTTTGGAGGGTCTCGGATAAATTGGTGCAACAGCGCACCGTATCGCCAAGGCCCCAGTGCCTTGGCATCATTGCCCCATGGGGAAAAGGCACGTCTGCAGGCTACGGGACAGCAAGTTTTTCATGCGAAGCTTCATCAAGCTGGCCGGCTTTCATATGCATCCAGTAAGCCATGAAACGGGCGGTCTCGAGAAGGGTTTGGAGTTGGAGACCCTCTTCAAGATGAGCCGCTTCGGAGGAATCCTGAATGGTGTCAAGGAGGGCTTTTCCCCAAGTGGCACGCACTTCATCACGGAAGCGATCAGGACTTGCAGAGCGCACAGCAGTTGGAGCAGAAGGTGTAACCAAGGGAGGGTTGAAGCACTTCTACGGCAAGCAGCGCAGCATAAGGCAATGGGGCTTGTTGATGTGTTTCTTCGGGAGGTTGGGTGCCAAAACAAGCAACAATCTCCTCCTCGATGCACTCATGGACGAGCCAGAGGACACCGAATTGCAACGATGGTGGCTGGTGCTCGAGGCGCTGCTAAAATCGTAGCTGTTCTCCGTGAGCTGGCGGAGTGTCATGCCCTGCTCGCCGGATGTGACTACACGTTGCAGCCAGGTGGGAGCTGCAACTGGAGTTTTATGTGGCGCCCGGACTGGAGGCTTGTAGGACACTTGAAGTTGGCCTCCATGGCCTCTGAACAGCTGGTGGTTGCCTGTGACTGTTTGCCAGTGCATTGCGGAAGTCATAGACCTTGCCACTTTGCCTACAGTCGGCTGCGCTACCGGCGTTAATCACTGCAGCTCCTTATCCGATCTGATTGTGTGTGTTTACTGATTGCTCAGCCTGCGAGTCTGTGTATACGCAGTCACTGTACACGGCGCGTATGTTGGAGCGGGCATGGCTTATTGAAAACAGCCATGTGGGGTGCAGTCTTGTAGTTTGCCTCCCCCGGCCCCTGGAGGAATAGGCTCAGGACTTTGAATGTGTAGTTGCCGGTTTTTGTGGGCTCCGCTGCACTTAGTAGAACCCGTGTTCTTGTCCGTTAGCTGTTAGCGCTTTGGTTGTAACCTGGAGGCCAGTCAAAAGCTGCTGTCTGTGGTCACATGCACGTTTGTTTTCCTGAAAGAAGTTCGACGAGGGCGCCCACGAAAACCTAACCCTAACCCCTAGCCCCTAGCCCCTAGCACCTAGCCCCTAGCCCTTAACCCCTAAACCCTAAACCCTAAACCCTAAACCCTAAACCCTAAACCCTAAACCCCAGTAAAGGCCATCGCAAGGTGGGTGCTTGCTAAGCGTCACTTGTCAAGATTCTGGGCGTCAGAAGGGGTGCCTCGCAAGGGTTCACCGCTCAAGGCACTTCGGTCCTATGATTTCCCCAAAGAGCCCTTCGTACCCCTGGATGAAGGAAGAGGGTTTAGGGTTTAGGGTTTGGGGTTTAGGGCCTAAATGAGGAATATGCCTTAAATCATTCTAAGGGGTGTTGGGCTCTCTGGGTCTCTACCCCGCCGGCCGGGTTTAGGTTAGAACCCGATATAACCCCAGAAGTAGGAGATCTGTCGGCGATTCGGCTTGAGCGACGTTGCCCTGAAATGTGAACCCCAAACCGGAGAGGTCAGGGCACAGCTACGGGGATAGTTGAGAATCGCCCCAATTCTATTACAGTTGCTTGACTTTTAGCTTTTTTTTATTTTAGAAATCTTCCTATAACATAGCTGCAATTCTCACATATGCCCCATGTTGTGTCATTTGACAAGCTAAGCCCTAAACCCTAAACCCTAAACCCTAACACTAAACCCTAAACCCCTCTGTATTCTTCCGTGACATCCTTTGTAAGTCCAAAGCAGAGCGTCCGGCCAATCTCGTCCACGCGAAAGTCGCGAAGAACCGTGGGCCCGCTACGTGACATGCTTGGAGGTCCATGGTACTTATACACCAACTTTAACATGGTTTAGTGTTTAGGGTTTTAGGGTTTAGGGTTTGGAGGTTCATGGTACTTGTTAACCAATTTTAACGGTACTTATAACCCGCTTCTAGGCCCCTTAAGTGCCCTAACATGGTTATAAGTCATAAGCACAGTTCATAGTACAGTTATAACTGTTTAATAAGTACCATGAACCTCCAAATGATGGGGAATGCACCTGCCCTTCGCCCCAGGTGAAGGCCGTCTCCAAAGCATCGTCTTCCAACACTGGAATCCCAGAGACGCCAATAC